GGCGCACTTTTTAGGAACCGCTTAGGGCGACGAATACATCAGAACCGCGCCTGGTGATAGGTATACATAGACTGCATTTAAAAGCACAATTTTCACTTGTTGAAGGGAAAAGTGCTACAATACAAACCATTGGTTTGACCCAACTTTATTTTAATTTTAAAGTGGATTTAGTAAATACAATTTAGGCAAAAACACAATTCTACTATAAAATTATATAATGATAATAAAAAAATATTTTAGAAGTCTATTATTAGAACCAAATTCTAACCGAAATTCATTTATCTGATTCAATAATAAAATAATTACACTATGATTACATGCATTTATAACTTATTTCTTGTACTCTATATAATAAATTTTTAATATGATTATAGTTGGATTGTAATCCGAAACTTATATTTTAGGTTTTACAGGCACTTTTTGGAAAAAAAAAATTAAATTTCCACCTCATAAGTAATTCAAACATTTTGGAGATCAGTGAAATTTTTAATTGTAGATAGGGAAAATTTATTATGTTTTATATAACCAAGAATTGGTTATAAAATCTAATATATATAAGTATGGTTAAATATTTTGAATTGCATATTATCTGGATTTAAATATTTGAAATTAAATAATTTTATTATTATATGAAATAAATTTATATATTTTAAGAAGCTATGGCTTGAATAAATGTAATTACTTCAATTTCTGTTCAAGTAAAACTCTAATAAATGTGTGATAAAGTGGGAATTTTTTTAACTAATTTATTGACACATTAACAATGTGACTTGACTGGGGGCTTAATAACAATGCTATGTAATGCCGAATCAAGGGATAGCAAATCACCAAATTAATAGTAGAGTGTATCAATGTTAGACCTAAATTGTGTCTTCTCGATAATTTCGAAATCGTTTTTTCTAAAATTACTCACTTGAATTATTTTTATAAACCTTAATATAATCGTTAAACTTCGTTGAAACGACAATATCGTTTTAGATCTAAACTGTTAATTTACAGCATAAAAAGTTTCTTTGCGTCAGACTGTAACTTGTAAGATTAAAAACGTCATTTTAGTTATGAAATATTCGTTCAAAATAAATAATAATATAATTTCCTTTTATTTTTTTCAAAATTTATTACCCTTGAATAAATGAATTAAAAAATTTGCACAAAATCTTAATAGTGTTGTAGCAAAGGCATATTACAAAATTCCTAAATCGCTTTTAATCAAACTAGGAAAATTTGAGCTTGCAGAGGTTTTTACTTTAGGTGAATAATGAATACTTTAAGTAATTGTTCTTTAGATGAATAATATTTAAATACAATTAATTTGAAATATTTGGTTTAATATAAATTGAGAACATTTTTATTATTCAAATTTATTACAAATATATTAATAATAATTGTGCCAAACCAAAGAAGGGGTCCTTATAAATAAAATTTTTAATCTGTTATGATATACGACTTTTGTATTTAATTAATTAATTTCAACTTAAATTAGATTTATTTACTGTATAGTAAAATAAAATTTTAAAAAAATATTCCTCTATTAAATAGGATCCTCTCCCAAGGCATTTACTTAAAATTGAAATGTAAATTTTAAAATTATTATTGTTTATATATTCACTTTATGTTCACTCATAATTTTATTTAAACCGTGTAATTTTTAACATTAACTCACTCTGATTTAGAAAATCAATTATTTAACTAATTCATTACGATTTAAAATTCAAAATTTTTTTGTAAATTCTTTATTTTTCATCGATACAATATCCTTTCCTTAATACTCTTTTTTCTGAATAATCACAAAGCTACGTACGAATAAAACAAGCAAAATAAAATAATTAATATTCACACTTTACAAACAAATTAATTCTTAATAAATATTGATACTCGTAAATATTAAGAAACCAATAGTAAATATAGAAACGTATAGGAATATTTACATGGCTATGTATATTCCATTTCAATATGTTTCAAATATAAATTATGCATATCTTATGAACACGAAATTGTTGAAACTTCTCCCAAATAATTTAAAATATTAATTAATTTGAAATTCATACACCTTTTTACATGTTGTTTAAAATCCTTGAACAAATTGGTAGCAAAAATATTGCTTAAAATTTTTTGTCAAGACATTCACAACATTTTAATAAATCAAATGATTTTTTAGTTCATACTAGCTATCGAATACATCTTTACAGCTTTTTTCAGAGTTTTTGAAATGTAATAAAAATTTATACATATGTATGTACGTAAACAAATACATTTTAAATTTTAAGTTTTTTAAAACCAATTATATTGAATTAACACATATGGAAAACTCGCACAATTAAATTGCACTATTGTTTTAGATATTTCACATGTAAAAAAATAATTTTTCAATTTTTCTGAAAAAATCTGATTGGTTTGTGCTTCCTTATCTTCTTTAATTTTTTCTTATGGATTATTATTTAAATAACTCCAAAACTGTGCAATACAAACCTCCAAATATATTTTGAAAGTCCTTTTCAAAACAATTGGAAATAATTTTAAATTTATAAAATTGGATTTTATTTTTATAAAATGAACTTACAAAAAAAATATATTACCACCAATTGACACTCATGAAGTCTTTTAAATTTTCGAACTTACTTTGATATTGAAACACAATTTCCCATAAGCATTAAACTCTTCATTTAACAAAAAAACTTTTTTTAAAACAAAAATTTTTGATCGTAGTAAATTTTTAAACATTTTTAGAATCGAAAAAAAGTATAAATAGAAATTTGATTTTGAAAATTTTCATTAGAAGGAAAGCGATTGAAGGTAATGCTTCATAATTTAAAATAAATAAAAATTTATATATTCATGCGGATAATTTTTTTTTTTGAAAAAATTTTGAATATATAAATTTTATTTTAAATAAATTTTTGCTATAAAATAAATTGTTTTCCTTGACTTTTTTTGTTCGTTTTGAGTTCTATGTAAAATTGTTTTTTTCTTTTTTTCTTAAGAAAAGAAAACAACATGAAAGCAATATTCTGGACGCTTTTCGCAATGAAAGCAAGCCTTCGGTTTCTTTTGGCTCTGCTTATCGACTATGGTCCGAAGATCGCAAAGGCGTTGGAGTCCCTCCAAAACGTGGAAGAAGACGAGGAGCCAACGTTTTTGATGACTGACGATCTGGAGCGGAATCGTTTTTCAGATTGCCGGAATTGCCATATTGGTCGTAGAAGGGGAAGGGACTCCGATCCCTACATTTATCCTCCTTTCGCACCGAAACCAGCTTTCATTGCTGAAAAGAAATTCGGCAAAGAAAATCGTCGTTGTGCGCGTCTTCGTAATTTGGTAGACTTCTATCTCCCAAGAATGATGAACCCCAAACGTTCTTTTAGGGGGTTCAGGATTTTTCCCAAAAGAATGCCTCTTTTTCGCATTCTTTTTCTGTTTTTCATTTTGATTTCTTTTTTTTTATATTTTTGTGCTTTTTTGATTTAAAAAATGTTTGACTTAATTTTTTTTCTTAATTGCTTTGTTTAAAAAACAAATTGACAAAAAAAATATTTTGCTTTTAATAATAAAATAAAAAATTAAAAAAAATATTTTGCTTAATGCTTTGCTATTAATAAAAATAAAAAAAAATAATAATAATAACCCACGAACTATCATGCTGGTGTGGGTAGGAAGGGGGTTGTAATTATTATTATATTATATTTATTTTGCTTTGTGCAAATTTTCGCTTCCTCTTTTTGCATTTTTGCTTTGATTTCAATAAAAATATAACAAAAAAAACTTTTTTGCTTATTGCTTTGCTTTTAACAAAAAAATAAAAAACAAAAAAAATTAAAAATAATAATAATAACAAGATAATTTTATGACTCCCAACGTGCGGGCAGGGAGGGGTGGTTGGTGGGATGTTATTATTATTATGTTATATTTATTATTGCTTTGTGCAAATTTTCGCTTCCCCTTTTCGCATTTTTGCTTTGATTTTAATAAAAATATAATAAAAAACATTTTTTTGCTTATTGGTTTGCTTTTAACAAAAAAATAAAAAATAAAAAAAAAATTAAAAATAATAATAACAAGATAATTTTATTGACTTCCAACGTGCGGGCAGGGAGGGGTGGTTGGTGGGATGTTATTATTATTATATTATATTTATTATTGCTTTGTGCAAATTTTCGCTTCCCCTTTTTGCATTTTTGCTTGGATTTTAATAAAATAATAAAAAAGAAATTTTTTGCTTATTGCTTTGCTTTTAACAAAAAAATAAAAAATAAAAAAAAATTAAAAATAATAATAATAACAAGATAATTTTATGACCCCCAACGTGTGGGCAGGGAGGGGTGGTTGGTGGGATGTTATTATTATTATGTTATATTTATTATTGCTTTGTGCAAATTTTCACTTCCTCTTTTTGCATTTTTGCTTTAATTTTAATAAAATAATAAAAAAAAAATTTTTTGCTTATTGCTTTTTTCTAATAAAAAACTAAAAAATAAAAAAAAGAAATAAAAATAATAATAATAACAAGATAATTTTATGACTCCCATCGTGCGGGCAGGGAGGGGTGGTTGGTGGGATATTATTATTATTATTATTATTATTGTCATTGTTGGTTTGTGCAAATGTTCGCTTTCCTTTTTTTTGTTTTTTGCTTTACCTTCAATAAAAAAATAACAAAAAATAAATAACAGTAATAATGAGAAAATCTTATAACTCCCAATTACTGGTATGGTGGAGCGGTTAGTGAGATTTAATTATTTTGTTATTTTGTGGAAGCTTTCGATTTTATGGAAATATTCCAATTAACATTTTAAGTGGAATAATTACGAGACTCCACGTATCTGCCCTTTCTCTGTAGTCTTGTCATATTTTGATGCTTATATTTTCATATTTTTACAGATCCCAAACTTTTCTAAATATAATATGTATTACTAATTACTTTTGATGATTTATAAATTAATAGATTCGATTTTACATTTTTGATTATATTGGATTTAATAAATATATATTTTTTTTTATTCCAGAAATTTATAATGATTACGATTCAACGTTACAATCTCAAAAAACGGTAAGTATTTTTATTGTATTTGTGGTATGACTAATCGAACTAAATCTATTGTTAAATTATTATCCTAAACATTTTGTAATATATTTTTCTAAAAAAAAAGTAGCTTAAACTCAATTTAAAAATACCAATTTCAATACAGTAAATTTTATTAATTCTCAGCTTAACAACCTAAAACCTTAATATCAAAATATTTTCTAGTTTGATTAAATCCTTCTCTCATTCATACATTTGACATTATACACAGTTGAGAATTACATTGAAAGTTACTGCTTGCTTAATATGAAAATGTCAAAGTAAAAATTTCTAATTTCTTTTTTTTAAATTTAAAAATCGATTCTTATTCAGTTTTAACTTATCAAAAATTCAGTTTTAACTTATATCTTATACAAAGCATGTTGAATAAATCGAACCTATAAAATCTTTAAATGTGGCATAGCATATTCGATAAATTTTTATTACAAAAGAAGCAGATTTAAACTTAGTTTAGAACTTTAAATGCATATCTAAAGTATCGAAAATTCCCCAATTACAAATTTCAATATCAATCAATTATAACTGGCATTTGACTCATACAGACGGAAAATTGAAGTTTCCAAAATTTTATAACTTATAATATTATTTGTGAAAGAATTTTAGAACAATAAACATCAAGTATAAGTAAATTACAGACTTGTCAAGAATTTGCCTTAAATATTTACACGAAATGCAATTTTATTATAATATTCTTCAGTTTCAACAATGTACATGCTTTAAAATATTAATTATTCTTAAAGTGTTTACTTTCACTTTAATTTAAATTGTTGTATAATATAAACCCAATTCCCAAGAAAATTCAGTAAAAAAAAATTAATATTTTTGCAAATCATTAATGTTAAGGTCATAGAAAAATGTCAGATTTAGTTTTACTTCATTAAATATTTAAGCCCTAAGGACTCTCGTATATGTATTTACATGCATAACATATACATATACATGAATCCAAAAAAACTACAGTTTATATTATTTTTAATTAATATTAAAAAAATTTTTATTCAGTTTTTTCATAAAAACTATTTATGAAACCTTCTGCCTTAACTTTAAATTTTAAATTATTTTGAAAATCATCTACAATATTAGAAAGAAAAAAAAAGCTAAAAGAATTTATTTAATTATTTTTCTTTTTTTTTTTTCTTTTTTTGACTTATATTTTTAGATACCTGAAAATATTTACAATTCAGCTGAAGTGCAAACACAAACATCATTTTTAAATTCGGAAATAAATAATAACAATAATGATAAGGAAAATAATGAAAATTTAGATGGTGATGATGATGATGATAATAATAATAATGATGATGATAACTCAAGTGATTTAGATGAACAAAAATTTAATAAAGGAGATCTATATCCAGATTATAGTATACTCAATGGACGTAATCAAGTGCAACTTAAATCAGAGGATATAGAACAAAAAGAATTAGTTGAACAACAACAGCAACAGCAACAACAACAAAAACAGCAATATCAGCAATATGAATATGAAAAATCTTCATCAACGCCAATAGCATTAATAACAACAACAACATCATCATCATTATTATCAGCATTTTATGATGAAAATATTAATAACGATAATAGTTATAATAATAATAATAATAATATAAAAAAGGATAATGAAAATGAAAATGAACAGCAACTAAAACAAAAACAACAACAGGAACATGAACAAGAAAATATTAACGATTCTCTAGATAGAAGAACAGAAAGTGAAGAAGATTTACATAATAAATTTACATCATCATTATCATCACCATCATTGTCATCATCGATTGAAAATTTTAAAGTAGATGAAATAAAATATCTTGATGAAAATTTTTTAATAAATCATAGAGGACAAAGTAAGTTCATGGAAATACATAGTGTTTTTTTTTTATAACATTTTAATTTTGTAACCCTTTTTGTTTTGTTTTTTTTTTGTATATTAACGGTATAGTTACCATATGCATGAAATTTTTTGTACCCATTGGCATATATAAAATTTATTATGAATATTTTAAAAGTTATTTATTTTAAAAAGTAATAATTTCGAACCCTTCTGTGAGATCCATTTTGTTTCTTATTTTATAATAATTACTCGCTTAAATTATTTAAACAATAGTAAGATGAAATATTTCACTTAATTTTATGTACGAAATCTTAGTTTTCAATTTTATAATAAAAAAATATGTTGAAATTTTTTACTATTATAAAATCCACTAGAGGTAAATTTAGGCAAAATTTGATTTGAAAAATATTAGATTATTAATTGTTTTGTTAAGAAAATATCTTACTTCTAACTAAAACCAATTTGGTTTTGTTTTATATAAAGGATCTAGTCAAAGTTGCCACATAATTTCAAATATCTACAAGAAAGACAAAAAGTTTCGCCATTATCATAATAATTTAGAATTATTAATTACTTTCTATCATTTAAAAATAGTAGATTTCAAATTAAACTTTGTATTGTTTTTTTGTATCGCTTCTGTAAAATACGAGTAACATTTAATTCATTCAACTGAAAATTTATAAGAGGTTACTTATTTCAGCTATAATTATACTCATATAACTTGAATCACATAGAACTTTCATACTTTATTTTTTATAGTAATTCTAATGTGATAAAAAGTGATCCATTACTACAAAACATTGTAAACTTGTTTATACGTCCTGGTACATAGAGCTCAATTTTGAGTACCCCATTAGATATTAAAAGATATTAAAAAAGTAATAACATCATTTACAAGTTTCTTAGTTTAACTTTTATTTGCGATATGAATCAAATTAACTTAACCTTTAAATACTTAATTTTGCACATATAAAATCAAAAAATATTAAAATTTTTCATTTAAATTTTATATAAACTTGTTCCGTCGAGAAAATATCTGAATTAACTAAGACAAAGTTCTTTAATAAATTATATTTTACTGGAGATATTCCTTAATATCTAATATATATGTTTTGTATATCAAGAAGAACTCCCTAAATCAAGAAGAATTCTTTTTTTTAGATTATAATTAAAAGAGTTACGTAATTATTTATATATATTGGAATGGTCCTTTCCGATTTTCTTCCAAAAATATCTATTATTGAGTATGGTACTCAAATATAATTGAATTTTTGTATTTATATTTGATATCATAATGTATTTGATTATCCTTTTTAAATGTAAATGTAGACAAATCCGTTCTATATATTGATATGTTCGTAAAATTGATTCAAAAATATTGTATAACATCCATTGTAAATTTCTTTTTATTTACAAATTTTTTTTTATGTTATGAATTTTATTGTTCGATAGTTAATTATTAAATTTATGCAACATTTTTTCACAAACATGTATGTAATTTCATCTGATTTCACATAAAATTTATATCCTTTTTAATAAAATTCTTTCTTTTTGTATTTACATTTTTTTCCCTTAATTTCATTTTAGTTCAATCCAATTTCGACAAGCATAAAATACATCAAAGAAAAGGCAGCAATGTAAATAATTTTAATAACAGTAATATAAATAAACATAAAAAGACACTAAAATTCAAAGATTTTGAGAGCTTTCTGAGACACAATCAATTGAACACAAATAATGAAGATAAAGAAATTTCAATATCAACGCACAACAATATTAAACCAACATATGATCAACATCAATCACAATATACTGAAGATAAAATTAGAACATTAGACGATAATCCAGTAATAACATCAGAAGACAAGGATGATGATATAATTCCGTTATATCAAAAAAACGAAAAATTTCATAATAGATATCATAATATTAATCATCATCAATATAATCATAATAATCATCATCACCATCATCACCATCATCATCAACAACAACATCAGCAGCATCAACATTTAAGAAATCAACGTTATCCAACAGAGCAATTACACCAACAAAGATATCATCGTTTGCATCATTTACACAATCGTTATCATCAATATAATAATATACAACATCATCATCATCATCAGCATAATCATAATATTAATAAAATGAAACATCATACAAAGAAATGGCCCAATTTGTCACGATCTCAATATCAATTACCATCTGAACAAAATGACTACATTGATGACTTACCGCCATATATTAAAAAATACAATAGACGTACTAAACAATTACAAGATTTACTTGAAGGAACAATATCACCACAATCAGCACAACCTCTACCATCTTCTTCATTACATTCAATATCAAAATCACAATCCTATCCACCATCATCATCATCATCATCAATATTTTCAAGTCAATCAAATAAACAAGAACAACAAATACAATCAACATCATTATTAAATCCTATACAACGAACAACAATAAAACCATCATCATATTCATTATCAAAAAAGAAAATTAAAAATGAAAGAATTCATCGAAATCATAATAAAAAATGGACAATTGAAGATTTATTTGAAGAGCAACGAGCAAATCCAAATACACCAAATACAAATTCAGATGATGATGATCAATACATGAATGATTCAACATCTTTACAACAAAATTCTAATTTTAATATAAATAACAATAATAAAAATTATAGTAATAATGGTAACAAAAATAATCGTAATGGTCAAAATCAAATAATACCAAATATGAGAATAGGAACTTCAACTATGACAACAACACCAACAACCCAAAAACCAAATATAACTACTACTACAACAATAAAAAACTATGTTCTAGAACACAAAGAAATGTTGAAAACAAATGAACTTCCAATTGATAATGATAACGATAACAATGATGATGATGATGATGACGATGATATTGATTTTTCACAAGAGAATTCAATTGAATACGATACTGTTGATAATAAAAATTTAAATAGTTTTAAAAATTTACCATCAGCAATTGTTAATAATAATGACAATAGTAAAAGTAAATCTTTATTTACAACAAATAATCGAATTGTACCAATAACATCTTCAAATTATAATAATAATAATAATAATAATCGTAACAGATTTAGTAATAATGAAAATAACAATAATAATAATAATAATAATGATAATTCAACATTATCATCAGAAAATAATAATAACAATAATAATAATAATAATAACGATAATAATAAATGGTCATCAAGAACAAATTCATTTATATATCATCGAGTTGAAGCACCACGTATGGTTGGTATCGGTGATATTGGTAAAAAACAAAGACTACCATTTGTTGCTATTACAGATCGAAAATTAGAATTATCAAAAATGCAACAAAAAAATCGACAAAGTAATATGTACGAACAAAATCATTTCCCAATGCCTTAAATAAAATAAGAATATAATTTAAAACAAGAAAAAAAATGAAAACTTTACAAATAATAAAAAAAAAATAAATTAATTAAATAAATTATATAAATAAAAATAAGATAATAAATTTAGACGTTAAGAACTTATATTATACATATATACTTACTTACTATGAAACTTACTTACTTGCATAAATTTACTTATCATTCTTTTGTGAATTAATTTTTTTTTTATATTTTAGAATGGATTTTCTTTAAAATTATACATATTAAAAAAAAAAATTAATGGTACTTACTAAGAAAAAAATTAATTTTTTATTAATATGTTACTATTTTAAATTTACGCTTTTCCTCAACTTCCGATTTATTTACATATTTTAAAAATTTTTAATAATTATTTCATAAAAATGGTTAAATTAAAATTAAAATTCATGTCACAATATTCGTGTTGTTAAAATATTTTAAAACTTATTTTACAACTTCTAATAATTATATAACATAACTTCTAAATATAATTTAAAATTAATGGGACATAATATATACATATAAAAAGTAATTATTTTTACAAACCGCTTTCATTTAAAATTTGTAAAATTAATACAAAATCTTAAAAAATTTTATTATACATTAAAAAATCGTAAATTTTTTCACTTGTTATATAACACTTCCATAATAATTATGTACTAAAAAACCCTACAAATTAATATCATTTATTTTAAATTCATTAAAAATTTTAAGACCCTAAGAATATATTATTATGTATTTGATAATTTTAGAATTTAATAGGCACTAAAATAATAGTTCATAGATAATATTGTATAATTTTAATGAGGTTAAATTTTTATATTAATTTCAATAATTTCTTTTTAATTTTGAATTCATTAAATTATATTTTTCTAATACAGGCATACTTCGTTTAACGCTACCTCTTTTAACGCTGTTTCGTTATAACGCTCTTTTGAAAAAACAATTTTCAAAAATTATTATATCTCTTGGAATCACCAAATGTAAATATTTTATATTGTCACATTAAAAAAAAAATTTTTTTATTTCACAATAATCGAAATTCTAATGAATTAATTTTTATTTGAGTACAGTCGCAATTCTTAAGAATTAATTATTACATGTTCAAAGATTCTTAAGAGAGAGATTATATTGTTTTTTTGAGAGTATGCTTGGAAAATAATCTAGGAATAATCCAAAATGCTTTAGAAGATTTATGTGAAAATGATCCCAATTTTGAAAGGTCTTGTGCTATAAAACGAGGAGTAATGAATACTTTATCACCCTACATAGAACTCTTAAAGGAGAAGAGAAAATTATCAAAGCAATTAAGCTTAGACATATTTTTTAAAAAAGACAATTAAATATGACCTTTATTTTGTGAAATGTATTAATGTATTTAATTAATTTTATTGAAATTCTTATTTATTTTTTAATTTTTAAATGAAGTATAAATGAAATTAAATTTTTTTCAAAATAAAAATATATACGATCTTATTATTTTTGGCTTGAAAAAGTACCAAAAAAAGTTGGTACGAGTAGTAACATAACCCTATATTTTAGTGTAAAAGGAGCCTCTTTTAACGCTGTTTCTGTTAACGCTCAACTTCTAGGAACGCATCATGAGCGTTAAACGAGATATGCCTGTAATTTCATATATTTTTTATATAATTATAAATACAAGTATATATTAATTTTTAGAGTTCATTTCAATCAAATTTTAATGACTATAATGGGGCAAAAACATATTTTAAAATCTTTAGTAAGTACCAAAAAATTAATTCAATAATAAATCACTTTGGTTTCAAAACTATATATACATAATATTAAAAATAGCAAAATAAATAACTAATACAAAATATAAATAAATATATAAGCTATATATACAAAAAATTATATTACTATCCTTTTTAATATGTATGTATATAAAATCAGATCTTATAAAAGATTTTGAATCACTAATTTACACAGAAATAAAAGAACGTAACCAAAATTAAAAAAAAAAAAAAACAAAACAATTATCATTAAAAAGAACTCAAAATTAATATGATAATAATTGCATAAGAAATAAGAAACAAGAAAAAAAACCAAAGAAAAATCAAAGGTTATATTATTATGTAAGAGAGAACTACACAATATTATATAATTATATATAGGTACTATATAATTTTAAAATATTTATTTTATATTTGTACACATATTTCGATTCCAATATGATTGTATGCATTACAAAAACATATTATTTAAAATTTATATTATATACATGTATGTATATAATTTATATACTATATTTCAGTAATCACATATCGGCTAATATAAAAAATAAATATGTAATAACAATAATAATAACATGTACTTAACTTTAAGCATTATATACAAAATTATATTATATATTTATATGTATATTAAATATGTACAGTATTATTTTCAAAAAAATTATCACATAAGTCAATTGTATAATTTAAAATATTTGTATAAATTTAGAAAAGATAATAGAAAAAAAAAACAAAAGAAACAAATAACCAAAAAAAAAAACAATATAACTAAATCAGAAGAAAATCTAAAATAAAAAAAACATGTAAATTAAAAAAAAAGAATAACTTTTATTTAAAAACTAAAAATATTAAATATTATATTATGATATGTATATATACTATTATATAAAGTAATATATATATATAATACCGTAACTTCAAATTATACAATTCAGTGTTAGAGATGGTAAAATATAATTGCTGAATTTTTTAGAAATTGCAAAATATTACTTTATAATTTTGAAGTCATGGATACACAACTCTTGTATAAAATTTTCTAGTTTCCAAATTGCATTGAAACGTTATTAATACACAATATAACTCGTTACAAATTAATGCAGCTCGTATACATACTGAATTATATATATATATTATATTGTATCATTGCAATTTTGAAGTGAGATATTATGATTATACTGGCAGTTTGGGTTAATTGTTAATTGGTTAATTTACATAATATTATTAAAAACAGAAATGTCGAAAAAAAGCCTCTACGACAGAACTTGAGTAACTTATCGTTTTTCTTTTTGTCTTAAAATTTTTGGAATTATACTAAATGTTAACCTGATAATTTTGATTATGGTAATTTTGAAGTCGTGGAACATACTTTTTTTTCGTTACGCACAATTATCTTGTAAAACATGTGTATTTTTAAAAAATATTAATTAAATTTTCTCACATTCATTTGTAAGTATAACATGTTCTGGTTTAAGTTTTGTGAGTCTTTATCTAATACGATTTGACATAAGATATTATGAATTTATATACATAATCAACAAAGCTTATTTTTTAAACTTAATGGTAAACAGTTAAGCTGCAATTATTTAAATACCCATATATAAATTGCCAGTAAAAATTATATAATGTAACATTATTAATTCATATAATGTAGCATTATTATATGTATTTATATACTAAAACATTCACATTAAATGATACAAGTACAGAAATTGAATTATATACCGGAACATATACAAAAACATAATATTCTTACAATATTATTATATGTTTAAGAAAAAAATACATTACATTTTAAGTTTGTTTCAATTATCAAAAATTAATTTCAATATACACATATTATTAATATTAATATAAAATCTATATATACATATACATATATACATATAATAAATTAATTAATTTAAAATCTATACCATTAAAATTAAGTTTCAATTTTTCAATATACACAAAATGTTACTGCCGCTTTTGCTCCTTTATAATTTCAAAAAAGAAAAAAAAAAACAAAAAAAAAATAACATTTTAAATTGATAATTAAATAAAAAAAAAGTGAGGTACTTATATAAAAACAGCATTATTATTAATAAAAATAATAATAATAATATTAATAATAATAATAATAAAAACATACTGTTATTTATTAAACATGAAAATAATGTATATTTTAAAACATTATAAATTATATTATATTAAAAACACTATATAATTAATAAAAAATAAAATGAGAACAATATTTTAGTTATGTAATTCTAAAACTATAACAAAATAAAATAAAAAAAAAGATTAAATAAATCACAACAATAAAAATTTTGTTGAAATATAAGATTTCAAAATATTGCGATGTTTCTTTTTTTAATATAGTTCACAAATTTTGTGTTTTACAATTCTTAAACACTAAATCATTTTAATCTGTTATGTTGTACACTGTAACGATATACCATTTCCATTTCAATATTTATTTATGTATTGCAAGGTAGCAAGCTTTCATTTTCCATTTCTACAAATTTAAGCCATGTAAATTCCCTGAAAAGTTCCTTAGTGACTTTCTGTAGCAAACAAACTGAAATATTAAATTTCAAGAAATTCCGTCAATTAGTTTTTTTTGATAACAATATGGTAAAAAATGTTAAATCGGCCCCTAGTTCGGTTTCCGTGCCCTGATATTCTCAAAAAAATTATAAGTTGATTGTTTTAAAACCCAAAGTATTAAATTTCAAGTAAATTAGTTGATAATTTCTCTTTAAGCATATGCACAAAAATGTAAATTTCCAATAGTCCAAGTTTAATTGCTGACACCCGATGGTCACAAAAATTTAAACGGTTTTTCGTAGCTTACATAATGTATAAAATTTTAAGAAAATCTGACCAATAAAAAAAAAACGTCTGTAACACATGTTTTAGTTCCGTTCATCTTTTTTCTAAAAATGTCATGTTTATTCAAACTGAATTTCAAGCTGCCTCAATAACGTTTAATTTTCTTAAAATATCTTGCAATAACAATTAATAGTTTTACAGATTAGCATATGTATTACAAGTATTTGAAATTACTTTTCGATTTCAGATTATTTATACATACAGGTACGTACATATATAATATGTACATATTTTAAGAGCTACATATTTCTCTTGCTATGTATACAGTTTCTTAAAATTTTTACTTTAGAAGCCTTATTAGCTTTATATAATGTGTAGGAAGTCATTTTATATATTTATTCTACATAACACTAATATTATTCTCTACCTACACAAAAATCTACTGCTTTTTAGTTTTCTTAACTCGTCAACACTTTATTGAAATATTGTTTCATAACAATCCACGTTGAACAAATGTTGCTAGCTTAACTTACTTCAAATTTTTATTTTATTATTTTTTAAGAACAGCTGACGTCAATGTCGATGACATCTTAAATCATCACTTTTTTAATCAAAACACTCGTGTCAACATGCGATTTTTGTTTTGCTCGCAAATTAATATCGATTTAGTCGTTTTTTAATTAAAATTTCAATTGAATTTTATATAACAAAATATTTTAATTAATGTTGTTTGTTAGACAAGCTCTAAGAGCTTTTACCAAGTCACATATAGTGCATAGGGTCCAAAAAATAAAAAATACTGCATTCAGTGAAAAATATTTACTATTCACAAATCTTGGTATCAGGTGAGTTATAGTTTTATAAAATTAAAAAAAAAAAGAAAAAAAAACAAATTTTATTGGTAATATTTAACTCTGTTTATCATATTTGGTTAAAGCATGTTTTAAAAACCACCCACATGCAATGTTTTTTTTCTTCAAATCAGATACTGTATAAAGCGATCAAGAAAATAAATCTAGACAAATTACCTTACCTCTAGCGCTTAATTTGTTCTTTCTTTTTCATTTTTGTATAGTAATATCTCTATACATACTTGCATATGCCATTGTATCTATTATAAATTTAAAAAGTTCTTTGATTTATTTGGTAAATTTAATGAGTTCTATTAGATAAAAAAAAGATACAAAAAGTAATAGTTTTTATATAAGATGGTTATATTTAGATGTGATGAAATTATTGAGGTTAAAAATTTCAAGGGCATATTGCACAATAATTTTACGAAAACTTTAATTCCAAATATGACAAAATCAACACTGTTTAATAATATTATATTGTAACCGTATGTATGTTTGGCAATTAAACAATATTAAAAAAAAAAAACAGGCAAAAATCTATTACACTCAGCTAAATTTAAACATGTTCTTTAAATCTTTATAGATGCCTAGGACATTGTATATGTACCTAAATAATTCCACATAATGTATATAAGTATGTATGTAGGTTTTTACATATAAGTATAATAGTTACCTAGTAAACTTGATAGAAATGCTAGTCCAAAAAAGGCCTTTGTATATTTTTAAAATAGATTTACCAATATTTTTAAATAGAAATAGAAAGTTTGAAATAGAATATTGTAGAAACACAAAAATAGAAAGTCTAATGCATAATAAATAAAAATAAACAAAAATTATTTGACCGCATGACAAAATGCATGTTTTTTTTTGCCTTCTAACGTATTACCCAATAGTATTTACATAAACAAAAACAAAATGTATTTGATTGTGTATAAGTATATAAAATTAACAATTTATTTAAAATATTCATACATAAGTGTAGATACAATAAAAATCAATAATAAAGTGAATTAAATACTAATATAGATTATTTTATATTTTATATTATTGTGATGTATGTATGTATATGGCCTAATTAATAATTTTTGCTTACATTTATGTGAAAAAAAAATTTTAAATATTGCCAATAATAACCATATTTGCGCTCATTTTTTCATTAAGTACCGGCCTTAATTGTAAATTATTTTATATTATCATTGTATACATACGTTCGTATACAAAGAAATTCGTTTATTTGCCTACAATTTATATTTAAATTATTCTCTTCAAATAAATAATAAATTATAATAAAAAATGAAATAAATAGATACATAAATAATATAATTTATTCAAGTATTTAATTAAAAAAACGTGTATAAACAATGATAATTAGAATATAACAAATAAGATTTTAAATAAACAATAGGTAAATAAGTATAGTTAGGTACATTAACTATAAATACTTTTCAAATGAACATAAAAATTTTTAAAATTGATAATTGAAAATTTTTTTAAATGGGTCAAAGAAAGAAAAGAGGCCAAAATAAGTTTTGTAATAAGGCAATGGAGATACCCACCTAGTAGTTAATACATATACTACGTAACATAATCTACGATTCTACGCCATACTTTTGCTAAACTTAATTACATACATACATACATATATTTTGTATCAACCCTTTAAGTGGATCATGTACGTATCGCATCGCACTATGATAACGAATTGATAAGGTTTTTACCGACCGTATTGTGTAAACAATAGGTAGGTTATGTGATAGCAACAAATTTTGCATATCGAGTTTTCGGTGGGAACGTACTTCTCCATAGTAGGGAAGTGTAAATAAACTATTTTTAGCAACCTGTCGGTCTGTCGGTTTGTCCGTCTGTCGGTCTGTCGGTCTGTGTGTGCACGCGTGTATCTCAAGTTCGGATGAACCGATTTTGATGAAATTTTATATGTAAGTTTGTTTCCAACATGGCACGGATCGATCAACTTTTGGTATATATCAGGCCTCGGGAACTGCACTTTTTAGCGGGCCTGTTTTACATTTTTGAACATTTTGAAGAAAATATTCAACCGATTTACTTGAAAGTTTTATATATAAGCTCAGCTCGACCGTCCGCAAAAATTCGTATGTTTTGGAAGAAATCAGGCATCGGTAACTAGACGTTTACTACGGGCCAAATATACATTTTTGTGTATATAAAGAGAAATAATCAACCGATTTCATTGAAATTTAATATATGAACTCCTCGTATTAAAACAATGAACATGTAAATTTTTTGGAAAGATGAGGCATCGGCAACTAGACGTTTACTACGGGCCAAACATACACTTTTGTGTATATAAAGAGAAATAATCAACCGATTTCATTGAAATTTAATATATGAATTCGTCATATTAAAGCAATGAACATATAACTTTTTTGGAAAGATCAGGGCTCGAGAACTGATTTTGCAGGCCGATTTTACATTTTTCACCATATCCACAGAACAAATTGATGGAATTTCTTGAAATTTGATATTTGAGTTCTGGTTGTTACCGAAACTAACTGGCGAGCATTTCAGGGAATTCGGGTAGCACAAAGCGAAACTCTACTAAGAGCCAAATTTACATTTTTCTAAGTATGTTAACTATAAGCTTACTAATGTCCTAAAAATTGGAAAGAAGTATTTAACAGACATTTTTATAATATTCTGTAACACTTTCATTTAACTAGACAATACACAATGCGGTCGGTTATGCGCTGACCACATCAGATTTTTTTTTTGCCATAAAAATATGCTAAAAATACTTAAGTATAAAAATTATAATTCATTTTTAATATGATATTTTATTTAAATTTGATAGGCATTGAAATTTTTTTTTATGATAATTATATATGATGGGTAACATTAGAAAAGTAAAAGAAAAATCTACAATTTTTTTAGAAAAACATTTTTTCATGTAACCACATTAATAGTAGGATAATATAAGTAATTCTCTAAATTGAAATTTTTCAATAATTTCTCTAATGAAACAGGATATTTAAGTAAAACAAATAAGAAACAAAAAAATTCAATTAGTAAATTATCAAATTAATTACTTTTATTAAATCTTGAATTAAAATAAATTTAGAATATCTCAACAACTGGCTATATTAGGTACATACATATCTGATTTTAAATGTACATACTTTCATAATTTTGAATATAATCGCAATAAAATCCAATTAGTCCAGATATTCTGGTTATCAAAGTGACGTCAATCAATTCATTTATCAACCGAATTTATTATTAAATATCACTAAATATTTTAATTTTTTTTTTTTTTCTTGTCAAATACAGTTTGATAATATACAAATTAAATTTTGAATGAAAATGCAATAGATTCCTAAAAGCAATCATAAAGTTTAGAAATTTAGGATTCATTTAGCATTCCAAAGTTCCAATATCTGAAGTTAAATCATTTCATCCTAAATCAATCCTAATTTTAATTTTTCTCTTACTGGATTTCGCAAAATAACATAATTTAAGAATAATAAAAAAAAATCGAAACTTGCTATTATCAAATAATATAAAATTATTTAAATACTTAAACCAAGAAATAAAATCGTATGTTTATGTATGTAAGATCATGTTATAAGTATGTTAAACTACATTTATGTATATAAAATTTCTATGCAAAATAAAAAAAAATAAAACTAAAGATGAAATAAGCCGGTGAAGTGTAAACATATGCAAATACATTTGGTACATTTGTTTTTTTCAATAAAAACAACGTGATTTATATTCCATACATATTTCATTAATCTGTAATTGATCTAATAAACGTGATTGAAAAATAATATTAATATTTCTAACATCTACATAATTTTATTAACTGGTTTCATACCACATAATTATTATTACATTTTACTAATATTTCAATGTTGCATCGAGTTTTTTCTAATATTTTTGAAAAATCAATTTGTTATTTAACAACGACAAAATGTTCAAAGAGATAATTATTAAAATTGCAAGCCTACATATCATCAAATTAAATAAATTCAATTGAATTTAAGTAAATGTTTATAAAAGATAAAAGTCCTTCATCACGTTCGCTAACCATTATTTTCGTATATTGTACACGAAAGCATTTTTATTAATAAGATAGAAAGTTTATTCAATTAAGATTTTTTTTTTTGATTTAACTAACTTGAAATTCATTTCACTCAAGTTAACAATTACAATTATTATTACTTATCATATTTTTATTTCACAATGAATTCATATATGTTTAACCTTTTCAAATATTGGAAATTTACATTTTTACATTATCTATTATCTTTAAATAAATTAAAATTTATTAATAAAAATTTTGAAAATTATATTTTTCTTTTATAAGGTAAGGTTTTTTATTCAAATATGTGACGTGGTAATGAATTTTTTTCCTTTAACATTGTAAACAATACAGTAGCGATTTTGCTCTTGTGGTTTATTAAACTTTAATTTGCTTTTTCGTATACAAAAATTATATAGCTTTGTTTTCCAAGTAATTTTCCATAAAATTAACAATTCTAAATAGACGTTGTTCTCTTTTCCAAATTATTGTTAGTTTTTTCTTTTATTTTTATAAATTTTTTAGTTATTATTATTACGCATAATAGGAAATTCCTTAATTTACTTTTATACTAAAAGATACTATAATTAATTATATAGTGACTTTAGTATGAATATTTATATGAATACAGTAAACTCACAATTATTTGAACACAAAGAAGACAAAGTACTAATGAATCTACCAATGTAAAAATTTTATTTTATTAAAAACTGATGTTTATCGTCCTCAAATAAGAAAACAAGTTTCAAATTGAAAAATAAATTTCAAATCAAATGCAAAAAACTATAAGATTCTACACATTCTTTGTTAACCATTATTTTACAAAAATTTTGTAATTTAAATACCATTAATAAATTTCATACTTGTATACACCATCAGAATTTAATGCCAATTTTTGCCATTTAGTTTATTCTAACTTTTAAATGAATTC